TTTACATTTGAAACCAATGGAAGTACTGAAGGTAGATATAGCATTAGTTTTTGAGTTCTTACAGACTCATCATCAAATATGGTTAGAAAAATGAGATTAAAGGAAATGGCATTTATTATTCAGCCATTGCAACCTAAGTAGTAACTGCTTTGGTACCAGAAACTCATGTGACCATTTTAGGATCTGGCTGGACTTAATGCTGTAATGAGACTCATTCACCCTTGTTTTCCTGATAATATTAAGAATATTATCGATATAAAGTAGAATGATAGTGAATATTTTACTGATGTTAAAAGCAGCAAAAGTGTAATGCTTCAAGAATTTGGTATTAAAATTTTAAGACTTGTTAAAAAAAATCTTAAGACTAACTGAAGGCCGGCGCCGCGGCTCAGTAGGCTAATCCTCCACCTGCGGCACGGGCACACCGGGTTCTAGTCCCGGTCGGGGCGCCGGATTCTGTCCTGGTTGCTCCTCTTCCAGTCCAGCTCTCTGCTGTGGCCCGGGAAGGCAGTGGAGGATGGCCCAAGTGCTTGGGCCCTGCACCCCATGGGAGACCAGGATAAGTACCTGGCTCCTGCCATCGGATCAGCGCGGTGCGCCGGCCACAGCGCGCCAGCTGTGGCGGCCATTGGAGGGTGAACCAACGGCAAAGGAAGACCTTTCTCTCTGTCTCTCTCTCTCACTGTCCACTCTGCCTGTCAAAAAATAAAAAAAATAATAAAAATAAATAAAAAATAAAAAAATAAAGTGGGGTGGACGCAGCCGTTACGACAGTGCATGCAATGCCCACATCCCATATCAGGATGCCTGGTTTGAGTCCCAGCTCCCCCATTTCCAAACCAGCACACCCTGGGAGGCAGGGGTTGATAGCTCAAGTAGTTGGGTCCCTTCCACCCAACTTACTGGATCCTCCCAGCCTTCACTGAAGACATTTAGAGAGTGAACTGTCGCTCCCCATCTTCGTGGAGGAACGACACAGGACCCTGCGCTGTTCTTTTGTCTGCTCGGCCCTCCCCGGGTTTGCTGCTGGTTCTTCCCGGGTTGGCTACCGTCCCTCCACCTCCGTGGAGGGGCGGGCCTCCTGCCACTTTCCCCACTTCCGCAGGGGAGTGGCACACCGCAGGCCGGCTCTCTCAGGGGCTGCACAGGTGTTCCTCGTAGATGTTCCTGGTGCATGTTGTCTCTCTCCTCCTTTATAGTCCTCTTCCACCAATCCCAACTCTGCTACCCACACGCTGAGTACGCTGCTCTCCTCCAATCAGGAGCAGGTCCTACAGTTTATTGGTTGAACTGGAGGCAGCTGTGTAGAAGCTGTTACTCCCTTCTCAGCGCCATATTGTGGGAGAGCAGATGCATAGAATAAGTCTTAATCCCAGTAACAGTCTAGTCCGAGTTGCTCCCCACAGTGAACCAGCAAATGGAAGTGCTCTATCTCTCTCTCTATCTTCCCCCTTTTCTTCTCCCCCCCTTCTCAAATAATAATTTCGAAAATATTTATTTAATTTTTTTGACAGTTGAGAGACAGCCAGAGACATCTCCCATCTGCTGATTCATTCTCCAAATTCATGTAATAGGTGCCGGCACCATGGCTCACTTGGTTAATCCTCCACCTGTGGCGCCAGCAACCCATATGGGCACTGGGTTCTAGTCCTAGCTGCTCCTCTTCCAGTCCAGCTCTCTGCTGTGACCCAGGAGGGCAGTGAAGGATGGCCCGAGTGCTTGGGCCCTGCACCCATGTGGGAAACCAGAAAGAAGCACCTGGCTCCTGGCTTCGGATCAGCGCAGCAATGGCCATAGCAGCCATTTGGGGAGTGAACCAACGGAAGAAAAACCTTTCTCTGTCTCTCTCTCTCACTGTCTATAACTCTACCTGTCAAATAAATAAATAAATAAATAATTCATGAAGTAGTCAGGGTTGGGCCAGGCCAAATCCAGAAACCTGAAACTCTATCCAGGTTTCCTAGATGGGCAGCAGGGACCGACTAGTTGAGCCTTCACCTGCCGTCTTCTAGGGTGGAAGGCAGGAAGCTGGAATCAGAAGTTGAGCTGGGACTTGAACCAAGGCACTTTGATAGCCAGGACTCAAACCCAAGCACCTCAATATGGGATGCATACATGCAAAACAACATCTCAATTCACCAATGCCCATCCCTAAATAAAAACAACTTTAAAATACACATGCAAATTTTTATAAGTTTTTTTTTTTTTTTTTTGAAAGGCAGAGTTACAGAAAGGCAGAGGCAGAGAGAGGTCTTCCATCCACTGGTTCACTGCCCAGATGGCCGCAATGGCCAGAACTTCGCCGATCCAAAGGCAGGAGCCAGGAGCTTCTTCCAGGCCTCCCATGTGGGTGCAGGGCCCAAGGACTTGGGCCATCCTCCACTGCTTTCCCAGGCCATGGCAGAGAGCTAGATCGGAAGTGGAGCAGCCAGGTCTCAAACCAGCGCCCATATGGGATGCCAGCACTGCAGGCAGCAGCTCTACCTGCTATGCCACAGCGCTGGCCTCAAATTTTTAAAATAATAACCAAAACAATAGATCCATTTTATAAAGCTCCAGTTTTTTTCTTGTGAAAAGATCAATCAACTTAGAAAGACATGTGAACTTGTTTAAAATATGTAAAAGTATGATTGAAAAAAATTGTATTGAGCCAGGCTCTGTAGAATCTGATTCAGAGATACTTTGGAATTTCATTCTGATTTCCTGGGAGACAGAAGTGAGGGTAGGAGTAGGAGGTGTGAGAAGCCACCTCTGGAGGGACAATGTGGGTAATCCAGGAAGTGTCCACAAAAGTAGTGCTAGCAGACCTGAAGGGTATATAGGCACTGACCAGGTAAGAACGGATGGTGGAGAGTACAGGCAGAGGGAACTGCACGTGTCAGGTCAGGAGAGCAGAAAATACAGCAGTCCCCTCTTGCCTGTGGTTTTGCTTTTTGCTGTTTCATTTACCCATAGTCAACCATAGTTGGAAAATATTAAATGGGAAATTCCAGAAATAAACAATTTAAAAGTTTTAACTTGCACACTGTTCTTAATATTATGATGAAATCTAGTGCTGATCTGCTCAGCCTTGCCTGGGATGTGAGTTATCTCTTTGTCCACTGTATTCACACTATATATGCTACCTTAGCCAGTTAGGCACTTGATAGCCATCTAGGTTATCAGACCAACTGCCACAGTATCGTTCCACTTGTATTCAAGTAACCCTCATTTTAGTTAGGAATAGCCTCAAAGTGCAAAAGTAGTGTTGTAAAGGACAACGGGGCATAAAATATGAAAGGACATAGTGGTTAAGATGCCTGCGATCCATATCAAAGTACCTGAGTTCAATAACACCCAGCTCCTCCTCCTGATTCCAGCTTTCTGCTAATGAAGATCCCGGGAGGAAACAGGGATGGTTCAAGTAATTGGGTTCAGTCTACCCATGTGAGTGACGTGCGTTGAGCTCCTGGATCCCAGCTTCAACCTGGCTCAGTCCAATAATCATAGACATTTAGTGAGTGAACCAGCAGATGAGAGCTCGCTCTCTCTCTCTCATTCCCTCTCCCCCTTTTTCTCTCTGACTTGAAAATATAGTGTAAATCTAGTGCCATGTGGCAATGTGCAAGGCGTATAGGGAACAACCTGGTATACATAAGGGTTGATACTATCTGCAGTTTCAGGCATCCTTTGAGGATCTTGGAGCAAATCACCTGTGGGTAAGGAGGGACAACTCTATATACTCTATTTCAGAAAGCAGCAAAAGACATATGGAAGAGACTAGGAAGACTTGGACGGTAAAGGACTATGATGTAAAGTTCCCAACAAGAAATTTGGACTTCGTTCTTCAGCAGTTTAGAAGTTGTTAAACCCATTAATGAAATGTTATTTCTCTTCAAAATATAACTCAAAGAGTAGCACAGGAAATGAATTCAATGGTGTTCGAATTACAGGCAAAAAAAATGCAGTGATGTTAAGGAAGGCTGATCAAGACCAAAGCAATCTACGGGGCAAAGAAGAATGAACACATAGAATCAATAACGATTTTTTTTAAAGACTTATTTATTTGTTTGAAAGGCAGAGCAACAGAGAGAAAGGGAAGGAGAGAGAGAGAGAGAGACAGAGAGAGAGAGAGAAATGTTCCATTCACCTGTTCACTCCTCAAAAAGCCAAAACAGGCACATCTGGGACAGGCTGAAGTCAGGTTCCAGGAACTCCTTCCTGGTCTCCTATGCCACAACACCAGCTCCTCAATGACTATTTAAATATAGATATGAGAGAGGCCAATGTGCGCTTACAAAATGGGTATTGCCCATTTCTTTATTTTTGAAGGCTAGAATTCAACATAAGAGGGTTATATGAAGAAGGAAAAGTTGGGTCAAACATAAGAAGTTGTTGCCAAACAACCGATTGCAAATTGATGGTGGCCAACTGCTGGAGGGGTTCCTGTTAAGATCCATCCCTAGCAGCATCTCTGGTCATAGCGAAGTGAGTCTCAGCCAGGCATCTGCCCTCTGCACCACAGGCCACCACACCACCGCATCAGGCATGAATGAATGGGTTGGCTGGCATCAGTCAGAGTGGCCTCTGAAGAAGGCCAAGAAGGTGTATTCCTATTCATTGATAAGAATGGGACAGCTGACTCTTCAGTAGTTTCTATGTGAAACTTGCTGTGGCCGGCAAGATAAAATGTTTAGACATTTCAATGTATTCAAAGACTTCTGTAGGGATTTCTGAGATTACTATACACGGTTCCCTACTTCATTCCAAACCTTGCTGTAATGGAGATCAGGAAAAAGATCTCTTCTAATGCTATTCAATATGTCTCATATCAGATAATAACATTAGAAAGTTGTTCTCTTTAAAAAATATTGTTAAATTGAAATAGCAGGTGGACATTTAATATCTCATAAAGAGTAGAATTATTTTGTCCACTCCCAGATAATTACATCTGTACAAATACAGGACAGAGAGACCCTGAGTGTTCCAGAGACCAGGATCGTGGAAGGACATGGTCGCTGACCCTTCTGTCATTCACAAGCATGGTGTCTGGGTTTTTATGCTATTAGGTGAGATGCACCTCCTTCAAATCTTGGTATGATGGCAGCGCTTCACCCATCTGATGTGAAAAAGCGGTATCCTTCCCATTACCTCATCTGCAGCCAATGATAGCAGCATGATTTGAGTTAATACGCCATAAAAAATTTTGTATAAAACGTTAATGGATGGCTGACTTAGAAGGATACAAAATAAGAGAAGTTGTGTAGAAATTTAGGAAATATTTTCTATATAATTTACATACATCTGAATCTTATTCCTGTTATATCAAGGCATTACAAATACACAAGAAGTTGAAAACTTGAGGAAGAGAAGCAAAAGCAATGTAATTAGCCAGTGACAAGTCAAATCAAGAGTAAAAGTACAAAAATGTCTTTTTAAACAAAAGAAAAGGAGCTCAAAATATTCAACTATGGGAAAGGATCTCATTTGCCTAGCTGTGAGCGTTATTTTTGTTATTTTTGTAGAGTAGATTATAAAAAAATTGAAAACTTTTAAATAATTTGTTTTCTTCATATATACAAAAAAATAAAGTTTATGGTAGATGGGATGTCCAGATATTTGTTGGTTTAAAAAATGTCTCCATAATACCTATCTAGCCACATTCCTATATTTCTTCTGCATCCCTCCAGATATTTTTATGTACATATCAAAATAAAATTATAATATACATAATGTATAGAAATATAAAATCATTCTAATGTTTTCTTTAATTTGCTCCTCTCAATTGACATCAGATCTTTAAAATATGTCAATATTAATATACAGAGAGTTACTTCCTTTTTAATGTTGGCACAACATTCTGTTTTTATGGAGGGCCAAAGTCTATTTAACCATTCCTTTATTTATGCAAATTTGAGTCATACTCAAGATTTTACAAACTTAAATTTTTACTATGGATTCACTCACTAATAGACTTAAGAGGATCCCTTAAACCATCTGCAATCATAATCAGAATTTATGCTTGTGTGCACATGTGAGTTATCTCTGGAGAAGAGTGTCTATAGTTTTCCACAGATTTACCTAAGAAGTCAGTGACCCAAAATGTGTAAAATTTCTTCGAATTTCAATTTCAATGAAGTTTTTTTTAATTAATTAATTTATTTGAAAGGCAGAGTTACAGAGAAGCAGAGGCAGAGGCAGAGAAAGACAAAGAGATTGATCTTCCATCCGCTGATTCACTCTCCAGATGGTGGCAATGGGTGGAGCTGGGCCGATCCAAAACCAGAGCCAGGAGCTTCTTCTGGATTTCCCATGAGGGTGCAGGGACCCAAGCACTTGGGCCATCTTATACTGCTTTCCCAGGCCATAGCAGAGAGCTGGATCAGAAGTAGAGCAGCCGGGTCTCAAACCAGCACTCATATGGGATGCCAGCACTGCAGGCAGAGGCTTTACCCACAATGCCACAGCGCTGGCCCCTCAATGAGGTTTTAGAAAAGAGGACAGAATAGTGCTTCTCACCTTTTTAAAATTCTGAGCTACATTTTGATGTTTGACGCATACATACATCTAAATACTCCTGGCAGAAATCACTATCTTCTTTTCTGAAATTCTGATACAGTCCCCTAAGGGAAGGTTAATCTGGAACTACTGGGACTGAAGTTTCTCTGAAATAAAAGGGTTTATTGAGCCATCACAGCTGCTATTCGGGAGAAAGATCAGGTCCTGGGACACGTTCTACAGCTCCCAGCAGCAAGGCTACAAAGAGGTGGGAGATACATTTGTTGGACCTACGGAGGAGCCAAGAGCATTTTTGACAATGAAAATTTGGGGAAGGAAAGCAAAAGCTGTTTATGTTGAACTCACATTGGTTATAGATATGAGGGATGGGATACTGAGATGTAGGGACAGCTTTGGGATAGGAAAGTCTGTAAGGGGAAGAAGTTGTTTCTCGATTGGTTGAAGTTAATAGTCCAAAAAGTGTATACATAAACAGGAGGCCCTGGAGCCCAGGGGCATGGCCATCAGGGGTTTCAAGTCAAATTTTAAAATGGATTCAGAAATGTGGAATAGTGTTTGTTGGTTAGGGGCCTTAGCTGTTAACTGATGGGCCTCTCTTATGTCTTCCCACTCCAGCCCTTGTAATTAGATTTAGGACACTTACTTTGCTAAATGTAAAATTGTGCTCTGAGAGGCTTTCATTTGTAGTAATATGGCAGGCTGTATCATTCAGACAAACCTCCCACTGGGTTTAGGGCAAGAAGGAATAAATCACACACACACACACAGGCCCTGACTTACAATGATTGACTTAAGGATTTTTCAACTTTACAATGGTGCAAAAGCAATATACATTAAGTAGAAAGCATACTTCAGATTTGGAGCGTTCATCTTCTCCTGAGCTAGCCATTCGCAGTGCATGATGACTTTCTCACAATGCCAGGTAGCAACAGGGCATCGCAGTTCCAACTCAGCCCCACGAGCACAGGGTCAACAGCTGGGATTCTGCAGTCTGTGGTGTGGCGAAGCTGGGGTGCTCCATAGACTGGGTGTCTTGAGTACGTTTTTGACTTACAGATGTTTTCAGTTTACCATGGGTTTATAGGATTTAATGCCATCATAAACTAAGGAGCATCTGCTCGTACACTCATTTCTTCAAAACATCAAATATCCGATGAGTCTGCTAAAGAGTAATTAGAAAGCAGGACCTTGGAGAAGTAACCAAAACAATGAAGGTGCTCCTGCCCTGAGAGCATTGGCAATGCAGGCTGATCATAAGCTTGGGGTCTGATGGTCTCGTAGCAAAGGAAGAAGCCAACACATTACAGCCCAAAGCCTGCCCAGGGAAAACCTAATGGGAAAATCCTGTTCATAAAACTAGAGCCTGAAAACGATTATTCCCTAAAGGAAAGGATGAACCAGAAAGTAGCCATTCCCATATGATTCACTTATCACCCTCAACTAGAAAATAAACAAAAACCTGTCATACTACTAAGGTGAAAGATTATCCATCCATTCATGAGAAGTTATAACCATTCACAAATGTTATTTATATATCTTTGGCCCAAATTTGCATTACCTGAGTGGTTCAAAGGACCTCAGACTATGAATGATATATTTTTTTAAGATTTATTTATTTTATTTGAAAGTCAGAGTTGGAGAGAGGGAGATGCAGAGAGAGAGAGAAAGAGAGAAGGGAAGAGAGACAGGTCTTCCGTCCACTGGTACACTCCCCAAACGGCCACAACGGCCAGGGCTGGACCAGGCTGAACCCTGGAGCCAGGAGCTTCTTCTGGGTTCCCACATGGGTATAGGGGTCCAAGCACTTCAGCCATCTTTCACTGCTTTCCTAAGTTCATTAACAGAGAGCTGAATTGGAAGTCAAACAGCCGGGCCTCAAACCAGTGCCCATATGGGATGCTGGCCCTGCAGGTGGCAGTTTTACTTGCTATGTCACAGCAACGGCCCCTAAATGAGTATTTTTCTAATCCACAAATCACTTTCCAAAATAAGATCCCAAGGAAAGCGATCTACTCACTGTCAGAAGTAATCAATTATACTGTGAAACACAGCACCATGAGTGAGAAAAGATCCACCATGGATTACAATGTTACATTATTAGAATTGCTGTAATACGAATAGGCATGTTATGCATAAATAAATAAAAGACAAACTTTAGAAGATGTGCAGGGAACAAGAAACTAGTAGTTGAATGACTATTTTTTTAAAGAAACAAAATTCTAGAAATTAGAAACATTGAAATAAAAAACTCCACAGAATTAGCAACAAGTAGAGCTGTAGAGAAATGAACAGCTGAAGGACAGGCAGAAATGATTATAGGAATTTCAACAAAGGTGACAAAGATATAAAAACATCAAAGACATGCTAACTTACATGAATAGTAGAATAAAAAAATAAAGTGTATGCTTAATCAGAGTGCCTAAAAGAGAATATAGAGAAAATGAGACAGAGGTGATTAAAAAAATAAACAATCCATATTGAGGAAGTTCAACAAATCCCAAGGAGAAAGAACAGAAGTAGTCAATGTCAGATTGGACAAGTCATAGTGATCTTCAAAGGAGCTGGAGGTAAAGGGATAGGTTAACTTCAGTGAACTCGAAGACTGACAGCAGTGAAAGTCAGAGACCGTGCCTTTAATGTCCTACATGAAAATAACTGTCAATCTGCAAGGTCTTATGCATGAAGGCAAAGTAAAGACACCTATAAACAAAGACGGTGGACCACCCCTGGAGAGACTTGCAAACGATGTATTTTAGGTAAAAGGAAAGTGAACTCTGATGGAGGATCTGACGTGCAGGAAGAATGAAGAGTAATGGATAGTGATAGCTGGGCATTGCTAGTGTAAAACAATCATATCAAAGTCCGCTTATTTAAAAACACATCAATGGGGGCTGGCGCTGTGGTGCAGTGAGTTAACACCCTGGCCTGAAGCGACAACATCCCATATGGGCGCTGGTCCAACTGCTCCACTTCCAATCCAGCTCTCTGCTATGGCCTGGGAAAGCAGTAGAAGATGGCCCAGGTGTTTGGGCACCTGCACCCAGGTGGGAGACCCAGAAGAAGCTCCTAGCTCCTGGCTTTGGATCGGCACAGCTCCAGCCATTTCGGCCAGTTGGGGAGTGAACCAGCGGATGGAAGACCTCTCTCTCTCTCTCTCTCTCTCTCTCTCTCTGCCTCTCTATGTTACTCTCTCTCTTACTCTGACTTTCAGATAAATAAATAAATCTTTAAAAATAAATAAATAAATAAAAACACCTCAGAACTAAGAAATATGTTACAGAAGCAGCATAAATCAGAAGAATAAATTGAGTTATAGTGTTTTAAGTGCCATATATTTTCTAAGAAGAGGTTAAGGGTATTGATTAACTCTAGAAATCAATAAAGTAAACATGTGAGCTTTGATTTTTAGACTAGCCAGTAAAATGAAAGAAAAAGAATGAAACACTTCTACATTCACAGAAGGATTCTTATGCTTAAGGGAAATAAGACATAATCATATGAAATACACAGTTTTAAAATAACTAAGCAGGGGGCCAGCATTAAGGCACAGCAGGTTAAGCTGCTGTATCCTATATGAGTGCCAGTTCAAGTCCATCATTCACTGCC